AAAGGGAACTATAGGCACCCAGACCACTTCAGCTCATCCAAGTAGTCTGGGAGCAATGTCCCATGTCCTTAACCCTACAGTGGTAATTATTACAGTTTCTGAGAAACTGCAATAATTAGCTCTCAGGGTTAACCCCACCTCTAGTGGCTGTCTATCAGACAGCCACTAGAAGGCTTCCTGGTTTGAAACTGACTTTTGGTCCAGTAACTGACGCTGGACGTCCTCTCGCTCTGCATGAGGTCCTCCAGCGTCAGATTTGTCCCCTTAGGAAACCATTGATTAATGCTTTCTTACAGGGAAATACTAATGCGAGCAAGGCCATTGCCGCACATGCGCATTAGGTCTCCCCCGCTGGCTGACGTCGGCGGTTTAGGAGCATTTGCAGAGCCTGAACCAGCGCCATGGGACAGGAGGGGGGCGCAAGGGAGGGGCACTGTAGGATTCTATAGTGCCAGGTAAACAACTTTGATTTCCTGGCACTATAAAATCCCTTTAAGTTAGACCTAACATACTGTTACTCTAGGCTGTTCTCTAGTGTTCAGCTGTGAAACTACCAACAATATATAAAAGAGATCTGAAAATTATACACACAATTATGTAGTCTTTCTCAGAGATTATTCCTAAAGGACTCTTGTACCAGGGCTCAAGATTTACACATGTCATTGGCAAGTATAAATATAGCCCTGCTGAAAAGAAATTCACCCCTGGTGATTATGTAAGTAAGTAACCATCATTTATGTATACACTGATCAGCCACAACATTAAAACCACTGAATAACAATAACTATATTTTTTAAATTGTACTTGTCAAGGGGTGGGAGATATTAGGCAACAAGTGAACAGTCAGTTCTTGAATTCTATGAGTTGGAAGTGAAAAATGAGCAAGAGAAAGACAGCAAGTGAACGGACGTCAGGGTCATGGGTGCCCTTGGCTCATTGATGCACATTGAAAGTGAAGGCTAGTCCATCTAGTCTGATCATACAGAATAGCTACTGTAGCTCAAATTGCTGAAAAACTTAATGTTGGCCATGATAGGTGTCAAAACACACAATGCATTGCAATTTCCTGTGTATGGGGCTGCATAACTGCAGACTGGTCACAGTGCCCCTGATGACCCTTGTCCACAGCTGTAAGTGACATGAGTGTTAGAACTGGAGCAATAGAAGAACCATGTTTCCTGTTAGATCCGGTGAATGATTGGGTGCGTGTGCATCATTTATCTTAAGGCCTCGCGCTGGCTAGGGCCTCACGGCCGCCTAATCTGCCTGAGGGCAGACTGTGTCAGGTCCTTTGTCAGTGACCGAGGGCCCAACACCAGGAGGGGGCCTGGTGGCTTGCTCAGCATGCTGCCGGGTGCAAGGCCCCTCCTATCTGCCTGGCCAGCCATCACAGACATTGGTCTGCAGCTCGCAGAGCCACGGCAACCCTCTGAAAGGTCTTGCGAGATACATGGTCTGTAGCTCTGCTGAGCCACCGGACCACCAGGCAACCCACACTGGACCACCAGGGAATAAAGGTATTTAGTACCCCCCCTCCCTATCACCCCCTCTTAATATCACCCCCTCACTCTCACCATCACCCCCTCTCAATATCACCCCCCTCACCCTCACTCTCAATATCACCCCTTCCTCTCACCATCACCCCTTCTCAATATCACCCCCCCTCACCCTCACTCTCTCTTAATATCACCCTCACTCACCATCACCCCTCTCAATATCACCCCTTCCTCTCACCATCACCCCACCCCGTCACCCATCACCCCCTCTCACCATCACCCCCTCCTTCACCATCACCCCCCTCTCAACATCACTTACCCCTTCTGTCACCCCCCTCTCACCATCACCATCCATCCTCTCTCAATATCACCCCTCCTCTCATCACCCTCCTCTCAATATCACCCCCCCACCATCACCCCTCTCTCTCCTCTCACCATCATCCTCTCTCAATATCCACCCCCCTCCCTCTCCTCATCACCCCTCTTAATATCACCCCCCCTCTCTCATCACCCCCTCTCCTCTCACCATCACCCCCCTCCCTCTCACTTCACCCCTCACTATAACCCCTCTTAATATCACCCCTCCTCATCCCACCCCCTCTCCCTCTCACCTCACCCCCTCTCAATATCCACCCCCCCCTCCCTCTCATCACCCCCCTCTCTCCATCCCCTTCCCCCTCACCCATCCCCTCTCCCTCACACCATCCCACTCTCCCTCTCACCATCACCCCTTCTTACAATCCTCTCTCTCACACCATCACCCCCCTCTCCCTCTCACCATGCTTCCCCTCCCTCTCACCATCCACCCGCCCCCCCCTCACTATCATCCTCCCCTCCCTCCACACAATCACCTATACACACACACACACCTGGGATCACCTCCCCCCACCCACACACACAGTATCACCCCCCTTACACACACAGCCTCCCCAGACACACTGTCACCCCTCCCCACACTGTCGTCAGCCCCCACACACACTGTCAGCCTCTTCATGCATCCACACTCACATTAAGCACTCCTAATTCTGTTAATCTCACCCCCTCCAAACTCACCTGCCTTCACTCTGCCACACTCACCCTGTCACATTAACCCCCCTTAATCCTCTCACACTCAACCATCCTACCATGCCACAATTGCCCTGACGCACTTACCTCCTCTCGCCCTGTCACACTTCCTCATCAAACCATGTCATACTCCCTCTCCCTCATGCTCTCTCACAACCCCCCCACCATGTCCATTAACCCCTCTGTCTCACACTCTCCCTGCCACTGGTACCCCTTTACTCACCTTGTCACAGTCACCAGCTGAAGACATTCATCACACAGTCAGGAAACATAGCTTTGCCATAAACACAATGAAATAGGCAGATTCCCCCATACACATACGGTCCCAGATAAAAACGCAAACATGCTCACAGAGACATACATTCACACACACAAGGATACTCTCTGTCAGACACACTCTCTGGCACATACACAGGTAAACAGTGCTTCAATGTGTATATGTGACAGTGTGCATGTATTGCATTTTTTTCACTTTGGTGTTAGTGGGGCCTCATGTTTAAGTTTCGCCTAAGGCCTCACAAAGTCTAGAGCCGCCTCTGGTGGGATGTGCTGGAACAACAAATCCGATCCATGGGGGTTCCACCTCACAGCTTGTGGGACTTAAAGGATCTGCTTTTAATATATGGTGCCAGATACCACAGGATACATTCAGAGGTCTTGTGGAATCCATGCCTCAACACATCAGAGCTGTTTTGGCAGCACAAGGGGGACCTGCATGGTATTAGGCAGGTGATTTTAATGCTGTGGCTACTTCAGTGTGTATCCCTGCCTTATTAGAGAATATGGTAGATTCACACATTTTAGAACAAGAAATTCCAGATTTAAGGGAAGAAGGCTTGCTTCTGTGTCTGTTGTTCCAGCTTACAGGAGATTCACCAGGGAAAGTCCTTGTAAGGACTAGAGCTAATTCCCCATTCGGCTCCAGGAAGGAGCGGTTCCAGAGTTCCCAGGACTGATTGTCGTCCAGTGCCTGGAGGGGTCTGCTGGAGTGCTTGGAGCCCTCATGAAGCGCTAGGAGCATCCTTCAACAGAGGTACCCAGTCAGGGTGCCAAGTGATCCATTACACCCTCTTATGGTGTCATTTAGTGCTGCCTGCACCCCCCAGTGACGCCACTTGTGTTACAACTGCTACTGAAATATTAGTTGGTTTACAGATATAACAGATGATTATTCTGAGGCTCTTTTGGATATATTTCAATTCTACTAATGTTTCTTCATTGTAAGTCCTCCCATAAATAACCTGCAGTTTGCAATATATTGCAAACTAATTCCACTGCTTAATTGCAATGTAAATACTTTTGTTCACGCTGTTTAATTCACAATTTCTTACGAGTAGATTTAGAGAAATATTTCATTAATAATGTATTTGCACTACAGATAGCTGCAGGGATTATAATTAGTAAAACATGGATTAAATCCTTATGTCATGTGTACGCTCACAGTAAAATGCCATAAAATAATGTTTAGAAAGTATGGCAAAAAGTGCAAGCAAGTCGCTATTGATAAAACGCTGTATTGATAATTATTGCACCATATATTTCTGGTTATTTGCAGGTTGCGGTATAAAAAGATGTGAATAAGACAATATAGTCAGTCATACAAAGCTGTATTAAAATAAATTAAAGAAGCATAATGATTGAGTATTTTGGTAATTAAAATTATTTGCATCAAATGAACACTGACTCAGAAAGAGGTTTTGAAAATTTGCTCCTTTTGATAGTCAGCCTTGTTCAGACAAATAATTACCTTCAATTTGCTTTAGAATATTAATAAATGAATAAAAAGGAGCATGCTTGGTTCTCTTTTTGGTCATCTGATGTTCTGCCTTACATGGCCAACCTTTCTCTGTAAGAAATGCACTATATTCTTTCCTTCTCTTAACATTCATTTGACATCGTCTCTGCCTATTTTATTGCTTAAAGGGACACTATAGGCACCCAGACCACTTTAGCTCATTGAAGTGGTCTGAGTGCAGTGTCCAGGTCACTTAACCCTACTAAGGTAATTATTGCAGTTTTTAAGAAACTGCAATGATTACCTTTCAAGGTTAACTCCACCTCTAGTGGCTGTCTTACAGACAGGCACTAGAGAGATTTCTGGTTCGTTTGGCGGTCAAAACTGACGCTGGATGTTCTCAAGCTATGCATAAGGATGTCGAGCGTCACCCAAAACCCTATAGGAAAGCACTGTATAATGCTTTCCAATGGGGAAATCCGCCAGCTGACGTCTGCAGAAAAGAAGTGGAGGCAGAACCAAGCCAGAGCCGAGGGACACCGCCGCTGGACTGAGGTAAGTGACAGAAGGGGTTTTTAACAGGTTTGTTTTCCTGGCACTATAGTTTCCCTTTACATTTTATAACACATGGTACTTACTTGATAGTCTTTCGTCAGCCTTAGGACTTTACATATTAAATTAGCTTACTGAATAAAGGTCAAAACATTCAAGTCATGCAGTCCTGAAAAAAGATATAACTCATTGTAATATTGTCTTAACCCAGAAGATTTCTTCATTGAATTTACCGAAACTGATAATTGTGTAAAGTTGTTTATTTGAAACAGTAACACAAGTCACATACAAATGTCAAGTTCATCATTGTGCAACAGTGATTTACAGCTTAAAGTGCCACTAAATCTTCTTAAACCCTTCCAACACTTGCTTTTTTAACTGAAGCAAATTTTTTTTCCCCCACCCCCAAAAAATAAATGTACTTCAAAACCGCCGAAAAAGGTAGCATGTATTTTTTTTTTCTTGCTACATGCAATTGGTTCCCTGCAAGCATTAATATGATCATGCAGGCCTGGTTATTGAAGACTCATTTTTAGATTTGATCAATAGAAAAGAACTTAATTAGGCCTCCCTCGTCCAATCACATGAAAAATTAGGGTTCTTTCAAGGCATCAGCAGTGACAAAAAGTGACAATTTCACAGACCACGCAACCACCACTGCTGATTGGCTGTGAGGTGACGCACAGTGAAGAAGTCATTGTTTATAATTTTTTTGCTTTTTTTTAAGGAAGATTTAGCAGCACTTTAAGCTCATATACAGATCAAAACCACATGTATATCATTTGCCCCAATCATACTCACTAACTGTATACATTATTGACTAATCATGCATTTCAATTTTTGCAAACCAATCTGTTTGAATAAACCAAACATATGATTATGATATAACTTATACAGCTGTAGTGTATGACTGGGGCAAAAATATAGATGTGGTTATTTTCTTTTCTTAAATAGTTTTTCAGGAGTAATCAATTAGCACAAGTTTGTAGAAAATGAACATGAAACATGCTCCCACCAAGTCTTAATGAAACTATATCTTAAATTAAAAAAAGACCATACATTCAGTGAAAAGTTCAAAGTTTCTGAAGTCCTACGCATTGGGGCACATTCTCCTACAACTGCTAAGCATGACTTTAAAATGGCACTGTCATTAGAAATAGTCACATAATACTTTGAAACCAGACAATGTGCTGTTTTGTTAATTTTACATATTTTCTGGGATATGGTTGAAAACAATTGAATAGTAGATTGAGAACCTTTTCTTTCAATAGAACACCGATATATAGTGATGTTTAGGAGAAAGTTTCACTTTTTTTTTTATCTGGAAAAGCAGCCATGTTGGGTCAAATCCTACTGTTATCTGACCAACTGCTGCTCATCCTAACTTGTCTGCTGCTGTAATTTCACATAGAATAATCACAGGAGCAGGCACATTGGGTTGAGCAGCAGTTGGTCAGTGAGAGACTGACCTAAAATGGCTGCTCAGCCAAATAAAATGTGAACTTTATTTAAAAACAAAAAAATTTACATAATTAAAATTATATAAAGTTTTGTTAAATGCAATACACTTTTATAAAGCATGTGAAAATTTGATGACAGTTGTCCTTTAACTGTTGCTCGGTTAGATTAAAATAATTTAAATTATACTGTTTAAAACCGATATACAATAATAGAAGTGTTGTGACAGTGCCACTTTAATCTAAAAGAGTCCTAAATTGCTTTCCATGATTTTTGCAGGCAAAAATGGTCATTTTACATTGTTATAGTGCATTAGCTTCAGAAATGAAAGTTGGAAATGTATTATCCTACAAATTTTATCTACATAAACAATGTCATTTTCAGTGCCAGTAAGTACTAGCAATGGTGCCTTACTCAGCATGACAGCTAAATCTTCTGGTAATGAAAAGGTTAAACACTGATACCCAGTGCCACGGCCATGTAGGTAAAAAAAAAAAAATAATAATTGGACCTCACTGTTGTCACTCAATTTCTTCACAGCCTACTACAGTTTTACAAAACAACACATACACGACATAACAATGGAAAAAGATATGGCAGAGTTGAATGACCAGTTAATGCCCAGATTTTATTCTGACTTTGTAAATAGCTACATGTATCACTTCATTAGTAAATTGGATATTAATATTAGATGAGATTTGCTTGATGCAAGTTATTTATAACCTCTTTTTTCTTATTTAATCCAGCATACAATTAATGATAATAATAAATCATATGGCATTTCAAGCTCTGAATTTGAGTGTATATAAACCCATCATGTTGTTTCATGACATCACTAGGGCCAATACTGTAATTAGAATACATGTTCCTATTATCTTTTTTTTTTTTATTAACAAGTAGATGCCAATAACGTAAACAACATAGAATGCATGCTTTTAGTTACCAATACAAGATTGTAGATTGGGACATAGCAGTAAGATAAATAATATAAAAATACTCTTATAAAAATCTTAATGGACAAAGAGTCCTTCTTCCCAGTTTAAAATATATTACTGCTCACATATTTGTGTTTTATTGTTTTTTTGGAGCCCTTAAGATTTTAGTTTATATATGCAAAACATCACACTTTCTATGAAGGTATATTTTAAACAAGTGAATTTAACTCCTAGAAAATTGCAATTCTAAGAAATACAAACATTTAGATTATTAATTATTAGACAGAAAGCACACACAAGATCTTGCAGATCTTGGTATTTGTTTAAAGGTTCAGGGTACTGAAGAGTAAAGGAACACAGTAGCTCATTTTTAAGTTTCTCTCTCTCAAGAGACATTAAGAGTAAATATACTAGCACCACTCTCAAATACATATAAGCTTTGCACGGCTAAAAAAATAGAATGGAGTGCGAAGAAGACCAGATGCAAAAAAAAAAAAAGCCCTACAGTACAAAATATATATCTTGAGATGTAAGACTGTTAGACAGGTCAGAGGTAGGACTTGCACCAAGACATCTAAGGAAGAATGAGCGAGGGACCTTCTTCTCTGTGACAGGTCAACAATGAAAAAAGGAAGTTGGAGGCAAAGCCCAGAAAAATTGGCAGGATAAAACAAAATGTTAAAAATCATTATTAGAACTACTAATGTAAACCAATAAGAAACTATGTGGTATCCTTTCAGTTAACAGAAACTATTTTATAGTAGACAATGTAAAATTGAAAAAAAGTCTCCCTCCACATATTAGGCTCTGGAATGCTTTTGCCTCCCTGTAATATGTACTAACCACTGCAGTCTCTACATAATAAAGACTATGTTTTTACAATGCTTATTATTATTATATGATGTTCATTACATAAAACGCTTGCTTTTTTGTTTTTTCATGCATACCCCATAAAATGCATATGGAGTACCTTTTCTAATTAATCAGTGTTTTTATTCTGCTCTTAAAATGATAGACTATTCCTAAATTGCAGATACGTTGTTAAGGAGATGAAAATGGTTACATTTACGGGAGTGAGGTATACCAAGTTCCATAGAAACCTCACCCTACTTTGCTGTAGTCTACCATTACGTGCTGTTGCAAATCTGAACTCTACACCAGACTGGGTCAATGGCTCAATGTCACATAATTTAGGATGCTGTCAGACATGACACAAGTTACTGGCCAAATTTTACTGTACTTTAATGTAATATAGGCAGATGGAAGACACCAAAACATAAAATATTTTCATTTTTAAAATTTAAAATATATTACTGCTGTCTTTAAAGAAGCACGGTTAGGCCTGAGCCAAGAAATGTTTTATTGGCCCTTATGTCATGGAGAATGATTTGCTATTCAGCCGCTTCTTAAAATATGATAAGAATGTAACACAATAAAAAGCCGCATCCTGCTGATAAGATGCCAATCAATAACCGTAGTTCACTCCTTAAAGAAAATTGGCCAAACAATTTTCTCCATAAACCTGAAGCCATATGCTGCCATTTTGGATTTGGTTTGCCTCAACGAAGCAGGATTTTGGTACGATAAACTAATTAATCAGAAGGAAAGTTGAAAATGTTTCCAAAATTATTTTTTTATAAATAGTTCGGTGCTGTTGATATTATTTAAAACAGCAAATTGAAATGTATCTGGGAATTGTCTAACTAGTCAAACAGCTTTTCTTTGAGTCTTATGGTAATGTTGCAAAATTCATGCCTTATTCCAGAGCTGCAACTGGGTTACCCTGGTTATGTTTCAGAACAAATAACATATATACAAAGATGTATAAAGAGGCTGCCGTAAGGAATATACCGATTTATTCTCTACACAATGTGATGGAGGTTATGACTTGAAGTTTAGGAGTCAGGTCGCTCATAAGAGGAGATCACTCTGTAGTTACCACCTAAAATTGAACAATTAGATTCCAAATGAAGTGTAAAAGAGATTTAATTATCTGAAAAAGTAAACATTTCACTGTAACAGACTTAAACACAGCTCTTTTAGAAAATCTATCAATATATATATTGATTTAACATATAATTAAATTATATGCGTAAACAAAGTTCTAAAAGATGGTGTTAGTAAAATAAATTTTATACAGAAAGTCAGTTGCGCATTTTTTCTCGTATAGTCTATTTATGTTTTTCACATCTTGAGATTCTGATTTGACTGGATCAATTGTTTCAGTACCAGAGGGTTGACCAAGAGATTTTAAAAATGGTTCAAACTTTAAATGACATGAAAACAAGCTCTTGGCAGTGGAACTGGCTTACATTAATATATACAGCATCCTCTAAATATCGCAGTTTGAGTTCCAGTGACAGGCAGCTTGTCAGAAAAATACAAAATAAAGAAGCCCTCTTGTAACAGGTTAAATCAAATAATTAACCATTTAATCTGTGACATAATCTCCAGCAGCAAAGTGCTTTTGTAAAAAAGTAGCCTCGCAGGCCACAGCATAAAATTTACGCATAAGAATCCCTCCAATGCCTTGCGGTTTCTTTCTTTGAAAAACCGCCATGAGCCTCCTTTCTTTAAATAGATTGTCAATCCCTCCAACTCCCTATTTTTCCTGTCCCCAAAAAATGGCCTTGGAACAGAGTTCCTTATACAGATTGTCCACTATTTGCTGTGTGTTTTAATTCAGCAGCAAGCATCCATGAACAGGTCTCAAACCGAAATAGATGACCAAATCAAACAGTATGATTAGATCATTGTTATTTCTCTTCCTAGTGTTCTGAAACAAAGACAGACAAAGCATGCAGCTCTATTTTCAATCTATCATGATACTCTAAATTGTGGGCTCATCCTCAAATCCTTTCCTCAGCCTCTACTGCAAAAAAGTACAATGATGAGAAAGTTTTGGCCTTCCCTGCATTGACCTTAACCAAGTATTGTCATAATCTGCCCAACAGTTAAATATTTTATATATATATATATATATATATATATACACACACACACACACACACATACATACACAGCTGTGCCAACAAAGTAGCAACTTCAAATTTGACATGATCCAATTGCATTGGTAGGCTTAACTTAATTTTGGCGCCAGTCGTGTGATGTAGTGATGGTTTTTGCAATGTGCGGGCACACAACAGCCAATCTGGCGCTCAAAGGGTTAAATGTTTTCAGCGCCAGCAGCATCATCAGTTTTATAAATTTAATTATTTTTTACCTAAAAAAAAAAATATATATATATATATACAGTTCATTGTAAATTCCTCAATAAAGTCTTAATATTTTTTAAACATTTCATAAACCTCAACTTAAACTGTAGCAGCTTTCGTCACAGGTTAAAATATTGTGAGGAGGCTGCCATATACATATATAAATTTATATATTTTAACATTCTACCTACTGATATTTACAATATCTAAGAATATGTGCCAAATGAGATCGATCCAGATGGTCTAAGTTTAGGCACAAAACTGGCTTAGAGTGCTACAATTATGACAAAATGGCTTCACAACAGAAATTATTGTCTGACCTCTATAAATTACTATATGGAACTTTAGAAGTATTTCCAAAGTGCTTTAAACGATAATTAAACTTGAGTAACATAGTGTTGGTGAACAACAATTCCACAGACTGTTTAAAAACCTGTCATGCTACTAGGCTTGGTAATGTTTGGATCAAAAAGCTCTCTGAGAGCTAACCATACATTTTTTGGTATAATATAATTTTGGCTCCACCAAGTGGGAACGGAATTTACAACCATACAACCTTTCCAACACAACACAGCTTCTTTGAGTCTTCCGGGTGACTGAAAGTATATCCACTCTTATTTTGACCTCTCCTACAATACACTATAAAAAGGTACGTAGGTAGGTAAGTGCCAGTTAGTAGGCATTCCTCTGTAAGAAACTGATAGGCCACTAGTAAGGACAATGCACATGTTAAAAGGAAGGCACAAAGCTGTGTGAGTTGGAGTGGTTTTGCTTGAGTGGTTTAATAGTGCGTAGAAATTAAAGGGAGGTGTAGCCTAACACTAGACAGATATGCTCTATCACACAATGTACAACAGACAACACATTAGTCATTAAGAGGCCTATGGGTGAATTTTGAAGGCCAGAAGTTCCTCCGAGTGCATGTTATTGAGGCTCCGCAGATCTGCTAACTTAAGAAGGAGTTTGGTAAAGGTTGAGGCCTCATTGTGGTGGTTTTTCATGATTAAAGTTCGAAGAGCCCGGATTAAGGTTTCTTGCAGAGCTTCAACAGAGTTTACATTTTCAATACCAGATCGATCTAAAAAGAGAAAAGAAAAAACGGAGTTTGTTAAAAAGAAAAGATAAAACATGCTTTTTAAAAAGAAAATGCATAGGACATCTGTTACTCAATGAAAATTCTAACAGTTTTAAAATCTATAGGAAGTTGGAAATGAATGCAATACTATTCCATGGATACAAGTAACATTTTGTAATATTCCCAAAATTGCAAACAATTCCACAACTCAACATTATACCTTAATATTCCCCTTTTACTAATTAGTTGTTAATATATATGGATAAAAATGTTTGACTCCTAATCTTAAATTGTATTAAATGGACCCTCTAGGTACCATAGCCACATCATCTCATTGAAGTGGTTATGGTTCTTAGAGTGGCACTCTTCCACATTAAGAAGCTGTCTGACATGCAGGGTTATAGTCACTAAAGTGAAAATTCACCCCCCATGTTTAATATCAAACCAGTTAATAAATAAATGTAATCTTCCTGGGATCGCTCCTATCTCAGCATCATTAATAATGTGGAATTAACTCTTCCGCATTATCAATGTGGATGACATTAATTGGCTGAGAGGGATGGGTAAACCCACCTAAGTATATTAAACCCCAGGGTCAGGAGATTATTGGCAACCTAACCTCTACAGCAAGCTCTTTTAAATTTATTTGTTCCACATCCAGCACAAACAAACAGTTTTAACAGTTGTATTAGTATTCCACCGGTCATGCAAAGTTGGCATAACATTTCATTACAAAGATATAGCGTGCTTGCCAAGTTATTAAAAAAAATAAAAATAAAAATAGAGTATATGGTATCCCAATAAGAAAAAAAAAAACCCACAAATAAACATCTCTCATGAGAACCACAAGTGGGTATTCTTATAGAACACTCACAATTAGCAAATAATGAGGGGGACTGCCTTGACGTTGGCAGGTGGGCATTCCCTCCAATGGCAATTGGAGTAACTAAATGACCTCCATTTGTTTAAATATACATAGGGATTTAGGAGGGAGCACAGCTAACTTTTTCTTTGGTTTTTACTGTATGTATTGGGGCTGATGTGCACTGTAGTCGTTGCTGCCGCCCAGGAGTGATGGGAGTAAGCGCAGGACTTGTTTTTTTATATTTGTAATCCTTATATAATATTGCTTCAGCACAGCAGCCCTTGCCCCCACTTATTTGCAGCATACGTAACTGGCTGAGGCAGTTTTTCATTGTTGTTACAGATTAAACATATAGGCCGGTGAGATAGTAGAATTTGTTTAACCCTTAGGTCGCAGGTTCAAATCCCGGCAGGGTTGACTCAGCCCTTCATCCTTCCGAGGTAGATAAAATGAGTACCATTAAATTCAGTAATAGTAACTACCCCTTTATTTTTATTATTTGTAACAACAGTTTTAATATAACACCAAGATTTCACTGTAAAACACAGGAATTGGAGAGAAATGCGTTATAGCTCAAAGCAGGGGAGGCACTGCTTAAATCTTGATGGACTTTAAACACCTATGTCCAGCACTACCATAGAATGTTGACTAAGCATCGTGGGAGTTGTAGTCTAGACTGCTCCTCCAGGCATAGTAATACTCTCTCGCTATATCCATCTTACCAGACAGAAGAGTGGTGGATCATTGTGCGGTATGACATAGCTTGAGAGGGGTTAGAAAATAGCTGTCATGTTTTGGTTGGCCTGGATGGATAGAAACATAGAGATTATCTTTATTCCCTTACCAGCAGACACCAGGACAACTGCTGTAAATAAACTCATCTCCTCTTCACTAAGCTGCAGAGCACTGAGCTTCTCACTAAAATCAAGCACAGAGTTCAGCAGATCTCCAGCTCCCATCGTGTGCATTTCATGAACACTGTACTTCTTCCCGCTAAGAAAGGTGACAGTACGCTCCTTAGCGTCAAACAGTGACGCAAACCGTACCATCAGCACCTGGTAAGAGAGAGAAGAGAGGATGGTAAAAAATGTTTTCTTATAAAGAAAAAAAAAAAAGGAAATTAAGTTTATTGCATGGTCTCTATTTTGTATTAAGTGAGTACTTTTGTTTTAAGCTTGTTTCAGGTACTTCATCAATTCATGTTTCCATTTGCTTATTTGTTGGGTCAGTACTACTCATGTGACTATTTTATCTATTGAATATGCTGGCGTTATATATAATACATATAAATGATAATTTACCACATGAGGATTTGACTCAGATGTGATAATTCAAGTAGAACAATTTATAAATTATCACCAGTGGAGTAATAACAGTGGTTGGTAAATGATATAGAAGTTCAGAATTATCAATATTGCACATACGTGTTGGTGAACAAGGCAAATATAATATTTTTCATTTAAATGACCAAAACAATCGTTTTTTACTCAGATATTTTTTATATCAATTCATAAAATTCCTGTAAACTTATACTTTTACCTAACATTATAAATTAAAAACTTGAAATTAAAGGTCAAGTCATTGTGTATAGGTATTATATTAGGCATGAGTAAATAATCATGCAGAAATTAGGGAAAAAAGTAAAAAACAAAACAAAAAAAAACACAAAAACATACACACCATTTACATATACCTATGGAACAGGTAAAAGACCATGCCCATGATCAGTTTTGTTTTAAAGGGTATACTGAATTTCTGACAAATAGAGATTGCCATTTTGACTACCAGATTTTTGCTAGCAACTTTGTGTTAGATTAAATTATAGCTTATATTTTTAGGAGTCACAGAGAAAATTATATTAGAAAGTACAAAATATGTGCAGAAATGTTTTAATACAAAATATTTTCCTAATAAAAATTTTTCCGATATTAAAAGTCCTTGTCTTATTTTTTTCAATAATAAAAATGTAACAAATGTAATATTTTTTTTTAATTCAAACTCTTACCTCAAATGTACCAGCCTTCAGAAGATTAACCTGGTCAGGTTGTGAGAGATCTTTAAATCCTGGAATGCGCTTGGCAAATTCAACTACCTCTTTAACAGCGGGGGTAAAACTCCTAGAAAACTCTTCCCAGATTTGAGGTCCAGATTTATTGGGATCCATGAATGGAGACATGCTCATTGGACAGACCTGAGAATTAAAAACAACTTACTTAACTCCAAAAATAAAACAGGTAACAGTGCTTTGATATTGCGGTGACAGTGATTCAAACTATTTGTCTGCTATTCGTAAAATAATTACTTGAGTAATGGCTTGACAATAAAGACAAGCAGTATTTGGCAGTAAAACTACCACTATGGACAAAACATTTGTATAAATGACTGATTTGTATACATTTCTCAAGCACAAAGGAGACATCCAAATCAGAGCATGGTTATCTGAAAAGATTAAGATTTAAACTCCACTGCTCAAATACACAATAAAAAATAATAAAAAGAAAAAAAGAAATCACCATTTAGTAGATATATTCCCAAGATTTAGTAGATATATTCCCATGAATTTAATTATGCATTCTTTCATTGGAATTATATCTAAAAACAGCTTCAAAAGCTACAGATCTCTTGTCTGAAGCCTTTGCATGCCCTCCCCTTCTAACCCCGCCCAGACTTTATGTGACTGTCCAATCACAAACTTCCCAATGCAGCTCAATGACAAGTCTTTGCAAGGCAAGTGCTCATGGGTTTAGCTCACTGAGCTAAACAACGAGGAAGTAACAAGACCCAGGGATGGACTGACAACTCACAAGGCCCTCCGGCGATAGGAGATCAAAGGCCCCACTCCTCGTGCAAGGATTTTTGGCTACTACTACTCTTCTCTCCCTTCTTTGTGCGGCTCTCACACAGATACTATGTGTGTGCTGCACAGCACCCAGAATATCTGTGTGAGAGCCCCACAGTCATGACTAATAAAACACTGTTTTTTGATGAAGTGACCCTTGCTTGCATGCCTCCTGCCTCTCATTAATTAAAGAAATAAATGAGATTTAATTACACGCATGCTCCCTGTTTGCTGGTGATATCACAAGCAGTGTCAACACACGTGCATCCCTACTAGTAACCTCCAAACTCTTACTTCAATGCAATTTGTGCCTTGGCTGTGCCAGAACTGGAATGGATTGGAATGTCAATTACTAAAAAAAAAAAAAAAAAATTCCTGTGATTGCCAGGACAGACAGTCCAATCCTCCACTGGTAAAGTCATCAATTTTAATGCCTTTTGTCCAATCAGATGTTTCTCATAGAGAAGCATTGAGGATACATGGTGCATATGCAGCAAATACTACAATCTCTAGGAGAAGCAGCATTTTATGTCAGAATGCTTTGAGAAGTCTTTAGAAAAATGGAGGATGTAGGGAGGGATGATTTGGCAAAATATAATTATTGCTGTTTATATTTATTATATATAATAAATATAATTATATTTACTATATATAATACATTTATTTTAAAAATATTATATGGGCAGACTAGATGGGCCAAATGGTTCTTATCTGCCGTCACATTCTAGGTTTCTATGTTAACAGTAATGAATGAATGAATGAATGAATATTCTTTTCTGTAAAAGTTCTGATTAATCTAATTACAAAGTTCTAAAGCATAACCATCTTACGGTGTGGCGGATCTCATAAGAGGTAGAATTTATCAGAACAATGCTTTTTAATGTATGTATAAACTTGGACGTTAAGGATAATCACCAAGTACCTCTTTAAATGACACTTGCCTTTAAATTATTTAGGCTATAATTTATGTTTTTAACTTAGTTATCATCTGGGTTTAGGAAAAAGTATGAGTTAGAACACCCGGTTGAAACATTTAATTTTTTTTGCACAAAAAATGTATCAATGAACTGTACCAGATGTCTTCGTTGTCCTCTGCTGCATGTGTATCCACTCATGTTGTTGTTCCGAGGTACATCACACATTGATGCTTTACTACAACGGGACAATCCGTTTGAAAAGTTGACACTGTGTCCATTGGCAAAGGAGATGGCATGCCCACTCTGGTAGTCCATGATATTCCTCCCTTTGTTTGTCCCATTCATATGGTTCTGGCTTTCATTCACGTGGTAATGAGGGGAATTCTGTGACTTGCTAAAATGGTCATTGTTATTGCATTTGACACCAAAATTTCCTTCTTCTCTATGTCCATATGTTGCAGCTGGAACTTCAGAAGACTCTTGGTTATACATAAAGGTCTCCCTGTGAGCCCTGGTTACAGTCCGGATAACATCTTCTTTGCTAGCGTCAAAGGATGGAGGTGAAGATGGTGGTGGAGGACGAGCAGGAGGATTTGATAGGTTGGAACTATTCACTTTTGTGTAACACTGAAATTTGGATTCTGTCTTCTCTTGAGCTGGTTGGGGAATGGATGGCAGTAGAGATGGAGATGCTTGATAATCTGGTAGCGTTTCGGTAAGTACAGGGCCCCTGAATTGGCTGTTCATCATTGTTTTCATGGCACTCTGCATTTCTATTAGCATTCTTTGCTTCTCACGCTTTGGAATGCGGCCAAAGCGAACAGCTGTAGAGGGAACAAGAAATACACATTGAAAAAAACTGATTATATATGATTACATAGACAGCAAATATTCTTATTACTACAAAGGTTATTAACTAATCACTGGGAGAAATTTGGAAGGATTTTAAATTGAGGTCTCTCTGAACTGATGCAAAATACACTAAATAGACCCGCCAGGGGCTGAATAGCTCAGCAACAAATACTGAATAGGCAAGCATACTAAAGTGAAATAAATAAAACAGAATGGTGGACCCAAGGATCTCCTAAAAGCCAGGTGGTACATTTCTCCACAGTCAATTTATGTGAGGAAAGGTAGGGAGTATACTAAAGAAATCAAGGTCCCAGTATCAGCAAGAGTTAGGGCACCTGTCATGATGGATACCCCCACCCAGTCTGATGTAAACAAGACTGGTGTCCCCAAGAATCCTCGTCCCACAGGGGAGACTATATTAGCTCAGGGTTTTGTTTTTTTCTTTTTGCAGATACCATGATTCCGATTTAACTCTCTGAAATATTATATACATAATTTTATTTTGTTTTGACTTACGGCTGTATATTTCCTGTTGTTATTGTGGTAGTTAAAGTAGAACTGTCATTTTGACCCTCTATTTCCTCGTTCTTTTTATTGTGTTAAATTCACCTTAGTTTTTTTTTAGTTATACATAAAACAAAATAGCTATTTTTTCTCATTCGATCATCTTTAGCAATTTTCGGCAGTAAATTGGGTTTACAGAAAGTTCCATTTTGGTTGTTAAGCGAATTTACAGACAATCCATCAATCAAACAAATCCCACAGAAAGGCAATCAGCACACATAAAAGAACAAAATTAAGAGGCCGGATACTGAGATCCAGCACTCGGGAGAAAACTTAATGTAATTGTTTTTTGCAGTGCCTGGTGTTTTAGCCCTGCAATTTAAAATATTGCTGTTTAGTAAACAAAAAAATAAAAAAAACATTCACAGGAACCCTACCATTGCTTTAATAAACGTCTATATGCAGACTTTTCAGTCTATTACATAGACAAATGTAAGTGTCTGATTATTTGGTTAGAACACGAAAAGCAACTGCAGAAAACACATACCATCACGGGACATCCCAACAGACAGACACTTCTTAATTCGGCATTGCTGGCATCGATTTCGATTCATTCTCATGATGGAGCAGCTCTCGTTTTTGAGGCACTTTTTGTACTGGATGTTCTGCTGTATGCTTCGTCTGAAAAAACCCTTTAAAAAAGGTCAGAGAGGCATTGTCACTGATTTATCAAAATCAAATGCGAAGTATCCACAAGGGGAAGTATCATTGTAATCTTGTAGCATATATTAATACATGGTAACTCGCACCGATGCAATGGACATGGTTTAAAAGGTACCAGGATTGGTTGGCTGTGACTATCACTAGCCTCCCACTTAGAGAAATGCTTCAGAAAAGTACATACCAAATTTTGGTTTAAAAAAAAAAAAAAAAAAGGACACTTTTTAACACAAATAAATACAAAGAGTGACATATTTACTGCATGCAAGTAGGAAAACCTCCAACACAGCACCAATTAATTTAGTGTAAGATTCTCATTTTAAACTAAAGTGCACAAATAGATATGGAGGACTAGAGGTTAAAGTTATCTACCCCTTTAAATAGCAATGTTGGCAGTAAGAATAAAATTATGTAATGGAGATTTCAGAAACAAGAGAATACATTTGTGAAAGATCAGGAACATAATTTCATCATTACCTTGCAGCCTTCACAAGCGTGCACCCCATAATGAAATCCAGACGCTACATCGCCACACACCTTACACAGGAGGATCATGCCATTGAATTCTGCGGATATTAGTACAATATATGAGGATCTGTAGCAGAGATACCACATACCTTTTATATTAAACTAATGATTTACCTAGTCTAGCTAACATGTAAGCACTGGGTAGATAAGTCACTGCATTAAAGTGTCCACAAACTGTCTAGAAGAAAAAAGGACTCCTTTCAGGTAAAAAAATAAATTAAAAAATATTAAGTCTTTTGCTATTAGCCAGGTCTTAAAAGTTACTAACCACTGCAAGCCTGGAGAGTCCATGGCACACTGGCCAGGGATGAATTTCTACTTGCCAGTGCTATGTTTTCACTTGCCAAGTGCTAGTGGAAATTTTAACCTTGACCTAATCGACAACTGAATGTTTGGCTCCTAGAAGAGAGGAAACAAAAGAGCTGAACCAAAATTTGTACTGCCTACTTCTCTCACATTTCTTTTTCAGATAATGCTATCCAATTCTAGCCTTGCTTGGGAAAAATCTTCTGACGTAGCTATTTTCTTATCATCTCTAACAATGGGGACACTTACTGGATGAAGGTCCCCCGTGGGTTTTGGTCTGGGTTGGAACACTCGTGTAGGTTGTCGTGATACACAACGTGTCCACTTGCTGATTCCTCCGTGTTTCCTCCAGGCTTGACTGGATGCCTCCATTAGAAAGGTCACTTTTTCTCTTGCTTCCATTTCCACTGCTCCCACGGCTACTTCCTTCTGAGGAAGAACTGCTTGGAGAGGATGGCAGAGAGGATGACTGGAAACTACTGTTAGAACTCTCGCTGTGGCAGGAGGAAGGGCTGGAGGCTGAGCTTGAGGAGCGGATGTAAGCTATGACACCACCTGCAATAAACGGATAAATAAGAAAAATATGTGACAACATACTGAAGCAGATATGACATTTCAAAAATTTTCAAATTAGACTAGAAAAATGCATTTTAATTTCGAGTTTGAGGGCACCAGAAGGCAGGAATGATCACATAACATTGAATTTCAAAATTTTGACAAAAAGTGTTGATTTGAAAAAAATTCTCCAACTCGGCTAAAGTCATACCTTGGCAAATGTTGCCTAAATTTTGCAGTCAATCCAATATAACTATTATGATAGGAACACTATAGCGTTAGGAATAAAGGTTTGCATTTCTAACACTAAAGTGTCCCTGTCCCTAGTGGAACCCGCCCTCCCCCCATCAACAATTAAATCCACTTTTACTTACCTCTTTCCAGCGCAAGAGCTCCCTCAGCGCTAGCTAGGTCTCCTCCTCTAGTGATATCATGCAATGGTGAGACCTAATGAGCATGTGTGGCCCTTGCAATGTGCATGTTAACGCTTTCCCAAAGGAAAGCATTCAATCAGTGCTTTCCTATGGGGAATTTTAAAATGCTTAAAGGTTTCCATGCAAAGTGGTAAGGACCTAAAAGCTGCTTACCAACACTTGGAAAACCTATTAGGGCAGCGCCCTGGTCCGGGGCTTTCTGACTGAAGTCTTTGCAAAGTGGAGTGCAAAAGGTTTTGTGATGGGGAGCTACTGTTGCTCCCTGGTCCAAGGCTTCCTGATGGACTGGAGGTGGATGCTGGATTAAAGACTTTGAGATGAAACCATTCATCAACAGTAAACCGCCTGCAGGTGAGACGGTACCCAGTATAGTTTCGCACTATAACAACTTCATTCTGATAAAGTTGTTATGGTGCCCCAAATGTCCCTTTAAATTTAAGATTCACTTTGAATTCTCCACAGTTCTTACTTTAGTGAAAAACCCTGTATCTTCTAAGAGCCGAAAACTTTTTTTTTATATATCAAATTTCCTAGAAAACCATCCCAAATTGTGTATATTGTCACTGTGCTATTTTGTAAATGGACTATTGTCAGGACTCCCACCTAATGAATATAACTATGAAATGTTATTCACTACAGTTTGTCTGGTCAGATCAACTATAAAATGACACCTCTCGTTTTGCTTTTGTTGCAGCGTGACATACAGCATAAGCTTCCTCCCTTATCTCCTTATTTCAGATCTAAAGTTACGTAACTCCTGAGGGCAAGTCACCCTATCTTACATGCTAGACACGTTTTGTTGAGAATATGATGCTCCTTTGAAGAGGGGATGGACTGAATCACATGTTTGCAGCACAGCTCTGAGGTTTATAAAGTACTGTAATGCTGTTTGTAAGGGCTCCAGCTGTGCTACCCAGTGGTAACGCATGCAATTTAATAAGAAATAAGACATACAAGACATACAACAATACGAGAAGAATTACCAAGGCACAACTATGACAAATGTCACGTTTACTTTAAGACTTGCTAGAGAGATGTGAATATTTCTAGCTAAGTCAACTTACTAATTTTAAAGGAACACTGTAGGCACTTTATCTTATTGAAGTTGCTATAGTGCCTGCAGTCCTGTGCCCCCATCAAGCCACGTCACCAGGCCATCTAGGTATGACAACCAGGACTCTTACATACCGCAATGTCACGCATGCATTAGCAGTGCCATCACGGTCTGCCATAAAGAATTATTTAAGTCAAAGATTTTCTATGGCAGAATCTTAGGCATATGCGCCTAAGGTCTTCAGTGCTCCTCTATGAGGACCATTGGATTGGAACTTGCTGCACAGTGCGAGTACGCTGTGCTGCCCAGAGACTGTGCCTCCAAAAGCAGGTCTGTTGGGATGCATGGTATAGACTAGAGCTTCTGATACTAAATAATGCTGCTATAGAACCATTGAAGGATCAATTAGAAATGAAGGCATTCAATTCACCATTCGCTGTTCTAATTAGAAACAAGACAGCGATGTGTTCAGCAAAGAGTAGACACATGCACCCTATATTAATAAACATGTATAAGTACAATTAAATCTCTCCTGCATGATTGCTAGATATGACAGTCTAATCCAGGACAGGGTCATTGACTGCAAGAACAGCATCATTACATAGGCAGATAATCCCTCTGGACTTGCTATGACTGTTAGTCACATTGAGGAGTAGAGAAATTAATGTCTAAAGAAGAAGGGAGTGCTACTGTGTAATCCCAAAACAAATCAATCCAGTTTTACTCTGCCTGCAGGTTCATATCAGTAAATTAATATCCAATATATTCTATTAAGAGTACCATTGCCAGAGGGATACATGAAGTCCTTAAAATGTGTGGTATTGTGTTTTTTCTTTTTTGTGTTTGTTTTTTTATAAAAGCAATAAAATTGGGATTCCCATCTGGCAATTATTTAAAGGGACACTATAGTCACCAGAACAATTACAGCTTAATGTAGTTGTTCTGGTGATTATAATAGCTCCCTTCAAGCATTTTCATGTAAACACTGCCTAGGGACACCTCCAACTGGCCACTGGACGGGCTTCCTGGCTCAGTGCTGCACAGTAGACAGCACTGCCGTTTAGCGTCCCCACGCTCTGCATGGAGACACTGAATTTTCCTCATAGAGATGCATTGATTTAATGCATCTCTATGAGGAGGTCCTGATTGGCCAAAATAGCATTTGTCCCTGCCCCCATGCCGATTTTAGCCAATCAGGGAAAGCATTGGATTGGCTAAAAATCGACCAATTTGATGATGCGCGGCGCTGGAAATAAGGTGAGTTTTAGACTTTTATAAGGGGACAAAGTGGGGCAGGGGGGCAAGCCACCTAAATGGTGGGTTAAACACTATTGGGTCAGTAATACATTTTGTTTATTTATTTATAAAATATTTTACCAGGAAAGATACATTGAGATTTCTCTCGTTTTCAAGTATGTCCTGGGTCCACAAATCATTGCATTGTTACATTAGGTACAACAAAATACAAAAACAATATTAATACACAATATATACAAAATTTAACATAGAACAGGCAGGAAATATATAATCAACCATGACACGTGCATTCTGTTTTGAGGTATGTAGAGAGGGATCTCTTAAATGACTTTAGGCTTAGGGAAGATTTTAAATTGTCGTTCCACAATTGCGGCTCTCTGTAGGAGAAGGAGGATCGGGCCGCTTTCTTTTTGTATTGAGGTAGACTAAGTAAAGTGCTTGTACTGGATCGGAGCTTATAGAAAGTGGGAACAGCTGGGGAAAGCATTTTGTTCAGGCAGGGTGGGAGTTTCCCAGAAAAGCTCTTAAAAACAAGGCTGGAAAGATGAAGGGTGCGTCTGGATTCTAGCGACAGCCAGTTTAGTTCCTTTAGCATGTCACAATGATGGGTCCTGTAATTACATTGTAGCACAAATCGGCAGAACGAGTTATACAATGTGTTGAGTTTATTAATGAGGGATTGCGATGCAGACGCATATACTACATCCCCATAATCAATGATTGGCATCAGCATTTGCTGTACAATCTTTTCCTTTACTGTAGGGCTTAGGCAGGATTTGTTTCTGTACAGGGCACCTAATTTTGGATAAAGTTTAGATGCAAGCTTTTCTATGTGCAGGCCAAAAGATAGATTGGGGTCTAATATCATACCCAAGTATTTGAAATAGTGGACTGCGGTCAGTGTGCCATTTGAATTTGTTTTGATGGATAGGTGGGGATTGTGTAATTTGTGTAATTTAGGTACTGTTCCAAAGATCATTGTGACAGTTTTGTCAGTGTTCAGGAAGAGTTTGTTTTTTGCGATCCACTTTTCTACCTCTGTAAACTGGTCTTGGAACAAAGCCTCAAGTTGCGGTAGATTGGACAGATTTGTGTTCCTGACCCTGTAGTGATCCTTTAACTGAATTAGTTGCACAGGTCTTATGTTATGCTTTAGCAAATTAATCTTTTCACAATGCAGGATAGTTCTTTATGTACAATGCATGCACTCTTTACCATTTTATTTTACTTTTTTTTTTACCTACTGCCTTAGGACATCCACTGACATTCTGTAATATCATTATATAAAGAAAAAGGAACATAAATAGCTAAATTGGCTGCATCAATCCTGTGTACGGTCTCAAAAAAAGGAAAAAAAGTGTAAAAAGGCACTTAATGCATGCTTAACATATATCAATTTTCATAATTCCAGAGCCAGCTGTGATTGAGGATTTTTAAGAATTCAGCACATTTATGACCAGCAGAGAGGAGGTGCTGCACGTGTATATGTTGGCCCAAATACTGACTCACGTTCCCTGCTTCCGCATAACATCTAGTTATCTGCCCAAACAAAACAGGAGTAACATGTCCTGTGAATATCTATTGTACACCAAACAACAAAAACATATCTCAGTCACATGTTTTCAATTTCAGCTGGTAAAAAGAAAAAAAAGGTTACAGCACAGGTAGCAAAATAATGACCTATGGTTTTTAACACTGCAGTATGGGAGAACAAAGAAGCAATAATGTTTTGTAATATTAATCAAAAACAGATTTATTTTAAAATCTTTTTGACGTGTTGTTTTTTTGTTTTGTTTTTTCAAACTAAGACCATGTTTTGAAAGCTACAAATGTAGTGATCTGTTACAATACAATTCAATTACAGTTAAAATAAGACGTCAATAAAAACATCCACACTGTTTCATTTTGGGAGAGATAAAACTTTCAAACCAGGAAACTAAGTTCTTGTATTCTACAACCCAGATTTTTAATTATTTGTTGCATCATATCAGATGCTGCCAAAATCTACACCCTGTATTATTAATTGAAACTGGGAGGTACAAGCAAATTTACCTCTTTTATTATCTCATTTATCTCCTATGGCAACCAAAGTATACACTCCAAGCACCATAACCACTGCAGCTCGCTGGGATTGCTATGCCCCCCTTCTCCACCCCCCTTGTAAACTGTTTCTGAATGATTTGACATCCTAACTAGAGTCTGCTGTGCACCATTACCATTAATGTGGAAAGCCAGAAGTTCCTAACTTCAGTTAGCTCTCCTGAGCTAAGCAGTGCAAGGTAGGGATAAGCTCATTCGCATATATATATATTTGCCAATGAGCTAGCCTTGCACTGTTTAGGTACTTCCAGTATTAGTTGTGTAGGTGGGGAGGAGCACCCAAAGGAACTCATGTACCATTGAAAAACGTTTCTACGTACAATGGGAGGGGTACCAGGATCCTGGCACCATGACCACTACAGCAAGCGGTAGTGATTATGGTGCTTGGAGAGTTTCTTTAAAAACAAAGGGTTAATATTGCCAGGAATGGCAAATCATAACACATGATGAAATATAAATAAAGAGAAAAAACAAGATAACATATAGCAAGCATAGGATCAAAAACTGTATGTATGTACGGCAAATGTGTCAATACACATAGTAAGCCGCAATGTCGAAACCAAGTATAAAATATCTCATCTTCCTTTATTCTCCAGGAGTCTGGTTAAAGTGCTAATGGACGAAACGTGTTTTGTGACCCTCAAACCCAGTATGCTGCTGCATGATTTTTATACCCACACGTGGGAAAATAAAGGAAGAGAAGATATTTTATACTTGGTCTTGAGATTGCTGCCTACTATTTGTATTCTCAGATTCAAGTGGTTGGACCGCCACGTTTTCAGCAATTATGAGATGGGGCACATTTAAAGAGGCACAAATTAAAATGCACAGACAGTCCCCCTGCAGGCAGACACTAGGACACCTATTGTGACTGCTCTGTTGAGTGATCACATGGCCACAGGGGTCCTAATCCGCCGCGGGGAGACTGTCTGGGCTGCAGGCAGTCTCCCCACACCGGGAGCACCGCCGCCGGGGGAACAACGGCGATCAGGTAAGTACATAAGACCGTTAGGACGGTTCAGGACCGTCACCAGTCGGCAATGGAAAAATGCACATGACGGTCCTGAACCGTCCTCGGTCGTTAAGCGGTTAATATCTCTATATATTATCAGTACATATTGATAACTATATATTAAAGATATCAGTTTTTATTGATATCAGTATATATTAATTTCTGTATATATTGATAACTATATATTAAATATATATTATCTCTATATATTGATAATTTCTGTATATATTAATTTCTCTATATAGTGATAACTATATATTAAAGATATCGTTTATATTGATAATTTCTGTATATATTGATAATATATTAATATCTCTATATATTGATAATTTCTGTATATATATTAGTTTATATATTGATAATTTCTGTATATATGGATAATATATTAATGATATCTCTATATATTGATAATATATTAATTATATCTCTATATATTGATAATTTCTGTATATATGGATAATATATTAATGATATCTCTATATACTGATAATTTCTGTATATATGGATAATATATTAATGCTATCTCTATATATTGATAATTTCTGTATATATGGATAATATATTAATTATATCTCTATATATTGATAATTTCTGTATATATTGATAATATATTAATGATATCTCTATATATTGATAATTTCTGTATATATATTAGTTTTTATATTGATAATTTCTGTATATATGGATAATATATTAATATCTCTATATATTGATAATATATTAATTATATCTCTATATATTGATAATTTCTGTATATATGGATAATAGATTCATGCTATCTCTATATATTGATAATTTCTGTATATATTAATATATTAATGATATCTCTATATATTGATAATTTCTGTATATATATTAGTTTTTATATTGATAATTTCTGTATATATGGATAATATATTAATTATATCTCTATATATTGATAATATATTAATTATATCTCTATATATTGATAATTTCTGTATATATGGATAATATATTAATGCTATCTCTATATATTGATCATTTCTGTATATATATAAGTTTATATATTGATATTATATATGTTAATATTCCCCATTATATCTAACTCTGGGCTCTGCACATGGACTGCATGCATCGTGACTACACTGGGTGATGATGATGTGAACACAATGGGCTAGCAGTGAAGCTATGGCCAACGTGACTCGTAGCCCAGCTCCCAGTGACTAGCCCCCAGCCAGCTGCCTGTCCTCCACTTCCCCCTCAGTCACACGGTCTGACTGCAGCTCTCCAGCCACGTGCGCGCCTCCCTGCCCAGCGCGTCACTGCCTGCCAGCCGCAGGACCCGGCCAGCCAATAGCGTCCGCCGCGGGGCGTGGATAAAACTCAGCTAACGCGAAACGGCAGCTGATTGGCTGGAGCGCTCGCCACCTGAACACTTACGTGTGAAAAAAAAGGGAAAGTAGGTCAGTAACAAACAGCGACCCCTTTCGGGGAAGCTCACGTGGAACGCCGCTCGGGGAGGCCTCGCGCTGTTTATGTAATCGCCGCGTCACGCAGCCCGGCAGCCAATCAGCGGCGGCGCGTGGCTGGAACGTAAATAGAGCCGCACATGGCTAGGGCGGCCAGTCCATGTGAGAGGGCTGAGGGAGGACAGGGAGCAGCCTCCTCCTGCCTGCAACCTACCACACAGGGGCCACCACACCTTGCCCTGGTTACCCAGACCTGTGGGACACCACCAACATCCCAATAACCCACAAACACACAGCCCAGGCTGGCTGAGAGTCATGGGAGGCTGCTGGGCAACAGGAAATCCATTCCAATAGCGCCTGCATACACTGTAGCTATGTACTCCAGAGCAGGCTTCCCCAAACTCCGGCCCTCCAGATGTTGCTGAACTACAACTCCCATGATTCTCAGCGTATCTATTTCATTCATAGAATCATGGGAGTTGTAGTTCATCAACATCTGGAGGGCGGGAGTTTGGGGAAGCCTGCGTCTAGATTGTAAGCTCTTTTGGCCAGTGTCCTCATCAGCCTATTGTTCTTGTAACATTTTGTAATTGTCTCATTTTCGTTACGTTTACACCCTTTTATAATATTGTACAGCACTGTGGAATAAGTTGGTGCAATATAGATGTCAATTAAAATGATACAAAGAGTGCGGGAAACATGCAAGGGCTAGTGGCTAATGGTTATAAAGCACCAATATATTCTATACTATGGTTAATGAAGCAGACTGGGAGTATCATACTCTTATTTGGAGTTTATAGATCACCAACATATGCTACAGCGCAGTTCAGTTGAGAGAATGCAGACATACAATAAGCACGTTCCACTAAAAATAACAGATATCACTGTAGTTTTATACAATAGCTCAGCTAGTCACAATATTGAGACAAGTAACATCCCCACCCCAGGACCCCAATTCTGAGATTACTCACCTGTATTGCCCTCCATTCTGACCCCTGTCCTAGGATTGTGTTTTGGGGGCTTCTGCTGTGGTTATAGTGTGATGGCTGCTGTCCAGGTGGAGCTCCTCTCTTTCTCTTTACCTCCTTCTCTCCCTCCTGGGCTCAGCTACTCATTCTGCCCTGTGCTCCATCCTAGAGAATTGGGATTGCTGTCCGTATACTCCCGGGAGCTGGGTGAGCAGAGAGCTGCCTTGGTGTCCATGCACTCAGAGTCAGTAAGATGCAGAGTGTAGCCAGCTATAGGTCAGGCTTTTTAGATTTGGGGTACTGACAGGGTCTGGGTAACCCGTATAGCACGAGCCAGCTCTTCCCCCCTAAACCTTCACTGTCATGCAGGTTCTTGTTTGTGCTGTAGCTAAATTTTGCTCTTCCTCCTAAAAGCCTTCTCAATGGGCGGATCTTTCTACTTGTTAGGAATTACCAAGGCAAACCATTCTGCCTTCTGTCCCTCCCTGGCCAGGCAGGGATATTACAAGCAAAGAAGAAGACATTATAGGCTATGTCACATGTACTTCCACATTTCTTAACTGTCTCATTTAATTAGTAGACTAAGGCAATATGTCAGATTTATTTTGCTAGAGTTACACAGTTTTGGAATGAAAGCAGGTGTTAAGGGACTTTAAGCGGAACTTGTCACGTCTCTTGAATTGACAGTTTCTTGATTCTTCACCCTGGTAAAAACTATTTAAGTGTTTTCTGTAGTGAATAATCCAATGGAGATAATTTTAAAAATATACTTATGTCCACTGCGTATAAGTGCTCAGGGTGTGATGTTTGGATTCTACGATATGTATTTGGACATCTACAGAGAAAAGTCATATGAGTACATTCCTTCAATAATGCCATGGGTACTCCTAGCACTGCAGAGGTGGATTTCGTTTAAATGCCTCAACTTGCTGTGCAAGGACAGCAAAGTGAGTCAAATAAATAAAATACTTACCTATTGGCTTGTGACGATTTTGTTTTAAATGGCAGCCTAGGTCAAGGGGGAAATACAACTGAGACTTAGGGAGTTAATAAACACCAAAACATTGAAAGCTGAATTGGAAATCTTTGACTGGAGTTGGAGAATTTTCCCAAATCTGCACATTTTTCCTAAATTACTAATTTGTCTTTTAATACACTACAGTTCGTTATTTAGTGATTAACCTTGCGCAGTTTAAGAATCAAACAAAAAAAAATTTATAACTGAAGAGGAAAGATTTTCCATCTAAGTGGTTTTACCCTAAATTGTGCAGTTCTTTTTGAATTCAATGCAAAACACAGTTTAATGAATAAATCCCCATGATCTTATTGCACCTTCCATTCTAAAATCTACTAAACCCTTCCACGTCAACTCCCCCATGTGCTGCTATGCTTGCAATTCACGTGAATATAAATATGTAAATGCACGTGTTTGTTAACATGTGTGTTCGAGTATGTGTAAGAATGCGTGTATGTGGTCTGGTATGTGTGTAGCTACATATTTGTGTATAGGGGTGTGGATAAGTGCACGTGTATAATATTTGTGCAGTATCACTATTCATAGTTTTTTTAAAAGCGTGTTGAAGCTGTGGTACACAATGTGCATGACCGGTTCTGCAGTTTTATACCAGCCTGGTTTGACTCTTTGTTTTACCAACATTTCATGCACTGCAAAGTGGTTATAGTGACACATACAGCAAAAAAACTGCATGTCCGGCAGCCACTTATCATATGCAAGAGGGGGAAAAATGTCAAAGTTACAGCCGCTCAGTGCCCCTGCTATGCAAGACAGCTGCTTTTCCTATCCAGAAAATATCTTATAATAGTCAGGAAAGTGGACACCTACATACAGGTATTAAAGGAACACTATAGGGTCAGGAACATAAACATGTATTCCTGACCCTATTGTGTTAAAACCACCATCGAGCCCCCCTGGGCCCCTCCTGCTCCCTTAAATATAGCAAAATCTTACTTGCACGCAAGCCTGAAGCTGTAGTTCTGCATGCTGTTTTACTCAGAATAGCAAGCAGTCTGCTGACATCATCAGAAGTGGTGGCCTGATCCAATCACAGTGCGTCCCCATAGGATTGGCTGAGACTGACAAGGAGGCAGATCAGGGGCAGAAACCAGCACAATTCAAACACAACCCTGGCCAATCAGCATCTCCTCATAGAGATTAATTGAATCAATTAATCTCTATGAGGAAAGTTCAGTGTCTGCATGCAGATGGTGGAGATACTGAATGTCTGGATGCATTTTAGGCAGCCATGACCCAGGAAGGATCTCTAACAGCCACCTGAGTGGCCAGTGAAGTTTTCACTAGGCTTTAATGTAAACACTGCATTTTGTCAGTCAGTCTCTGAAAAGACAAAGCCTGAAGGTACTGATTCTACTCACCAGAACAAATTCAACAAGCTGTAGTTGTTCTGATGACTATAGTATCCCTTTAATAAACAGAAAAAAATACTCTCACAATATTAGAAGTGAGAATAGTCAAATTTTTGAACCAGACATCCAACCTTAGGATAATCATAGAGCAAGCTGTGTCCAGGAAATTGAGCATTATTAAAGTCAAAACAAATTTCATGTCATATTGGGACACTTGGGGACACTGAGACACTAGGGGACGCTGGGAGACATGGGGACACAGACACACATTGGGATACTTGGGGACACTGAGACTCTAGGGGACGCTGGAAGACATGGGGACATTTAGGGACACTGAGATATGGGGAAACAGAAACACATGTGGACACTGAGACACTTGGGGACACTGGGAGACAGCCAGTGTCTCAGTGTCCCAATGTCTCCCAGTGTCTACATGTCTCCCAGTGTCCCTAGTGCAGGGGTAGGCAACCTACGGCACTAGTGCCATGCACGGCACTCGAGGTGCCTCTGCACGGCACTCAAGGCTACAAGAGCCAAACAGGCTCTGGCCTGTCAGGAGTCCCAGTAAAACTTCAGATATCTATAATACGAAAGGGTGGTGATGGACAATCTTCAATTTATGCATTGCAGCACGAAGAAGAAGTTATCGGAGATCACTTCCTCCCAGCACTTGAGAATGGGAATCCACAGTGGAGGAAAGTAGCACACAGCTTCCTGTTGCAGCTTATGTCCTTGTGCTTGTACCTGGCCAGCTTGGTCCCCACTAAAACCCAGGGAAGCCTCCCACACTGCTAGATATACACAGAGCTGCAGAATAACCCTCCTCTCATACAAATAATACAAACACACACACAGTCTGCACAAACACAAACACCACCAACAATCCACATACATGCACACATCCCCACATGCAGCCTCTCACATGCAATACCCCAAACAGCTCCACACATACACACACTACCAAATACACAATGTGACATATCCATCCACACACACAATTCCACAAGCAGTCCCCATACACAGCCCAAATTCATAGGTATTATACATGATACCACAAACTATTAATGAACATATACAATATAATAGCTCATATACGCACAAATACAACGATACAAAGCAACTGCAGTATAAATAACACAAGCAGAATATGGCAACATGCACACCTCAATTTAAAGAAATAGGACCGACATCACAATCATATTTCGGCACAGTGCTGCTAAAAGGTTGCCTACCCCTGCCCTAGTGTCTGTGTCCCCATGTCTCCCAGTGTACACATGTCTCCCAATGTCTGTGTCCCCATGTCTACCAGTGTCCCCAAGTGACATGGGGACACTGGGCAACACGGGGACACAGAGACATGGGGACACTGGGAGACATGGGGCACTGAGACACTGTGATACTTAGTCTCAGTGTCCGCAAGTCTCCCAGTATCCCCAAGTGTCTTAGTGTCCCCATGTCTCACAGTATTCCCTAGTGACATGTGGACAGTGGGAGACATGGGGACACAGACACTAGGGGACACTGGGCGAGATAGGGACACTGGGAGACTGGAAACACTGGGAGCAATCCATCTATACAGCAGAATCAAACTCTAAGTAGTTTTCTGGTGATTTTACAGCATTTTCTCTTATGTTACTCCTTGTGATGTCACGCATACATAATTAGTTATGCTAATTAGTAAGGCCTGTATTTTTTACCAAGAAAGGTGGCAACCCTAAAAACTCTTCACATACTCTTGCTTAAGTATGGAAACTTAAGAGGAATCTACTGAAACAAAACTTGTGTGGACTAGCTGAAATTAAATTAGTTAAGGTAATGCTGACTTTGGTCTCTCTAACACTGTGGTATGTTCCCTTTCTTCTACACTCCACATTTTCTCTGTCTCAGACTGTATACCAAGAGCTTCTGCCTGCTAGTAAGAAGGTAAGGAGACAAGTGGACATGTGAGTGCCAGGGGACAGTCCTTAGAAAGCATGGAGCGAGCTCATCATTAGACGCATTTATGCCAAGCTCAGGATGCTGTTGGCCAGCATGCATGATTGGTACGCAGCCTTACATGCATTCATGCCAGGCTAGCCTTCCAATTCTTTGGGCAGACACGCCACCTTTTTGGGCATGTTTGTCCCTTTCGGGAGTTCTGGTTACATGATCAGCGTCAGTGGCCCACCCTTTTACACCGCCCATTGACTTCCTGCTTCACTGGACACTGCTGTTACGGGGTATGGATTTACTTGAAAGATGAAAGCAAGAATTAGAGAGAGATAAGCATATTTTAAGAGAATCTGAGTTTTCTTATAGCTGCACCCTATGTGTTTCCCTCCAGCAACATCTCCACCACATACATAACGCTTGAGAGGTATGACTGTTTTAGTGTTTTTGGTCGATAAGATTCTGTACTTAGGCCCCTCATAATTGTCAGCACCAGGCCCACTAGGCTCTTAATCTGGCCCTGAATCTAGTGCAGGGTTGCCCAAAATGTAGAGCCCCAGATGTTTTAGAACTACAACTTCCATGATGCTTCGCATGCCTTTAGAATGACAAACCATCATGAAAGCTGTAGTTTTAAAACATCTGGGAACCTACCTTTTGGACACCACTGATCTAGTGCATTGCAGCATGTAGGTTGCGGGGTTATAGTAACTGAACCTAGTGATACCAAGTAATACCTGTTTTTTCAAAGATTTCGGAAGTATGAGTTCATGAATATAGATAAGTGGTTTCCAACCTGGTACTCAAGGCACATCCAAACATTCAGTATCTCCACCCTCTGCATGCAGACACTGAACTTTCCTCATAGAGATTCATTGATTCAATTCATCTCTATGAGGAGATGCTGATTGGCCAGGGCTGTGTTTGAATCATGTCTGCTCTGCCCCTGATCTGTGGTGTGCTATGTGGATTTGATAAAACCTGGACTACTGACGTGCCTTGGTGACAGGGTTGTAAACCACTGGTTTCAAAGACCACACAAGTGTCTAGTGTCACATATATCTGAAGCATGCAGAAGGAGATTCATAGGAATCTATTGCTGAGAATGACATTGAAGATGCAGGTAAAGTTACAATTTATCTCCAATTAGCCA